CTTCTCGACTTTCAAGTTCAATTCAACTTTTTAAATAAGGCCTAAGGTCAAATATTTGTTGCTTTCAGAGTCATGCCCACCTGAGTGGATAAAAGAGGATGAGATGTGTTTCTTGTACAAAGGAGGCTCTCTCACATTCCATGAAGCCGAGAAATATTGCTGGGTAAACACATGAGGGATACTTACTAAGATCTGATTAGCATACTCTTTCATCAAGTTACTCTTTCTAGCTTTGTCAAGGATTTGTATTTGTTACTTACTAAACTCTTAATTAAGGGGCTGTTGCGCTACCGATTGAAGGGCTTTATGTAAGGACAGTCAATGATAACATTGCGCTACTTTCAAATTCTCTCAAGATAACTGAAGAAAGGTTCCTTCTTCTGTCATTTTATGTTGCTAAATACAACATTCCCTTTTTTTCTCTATGCATTACTCCTGAAGAGTTATGGTGGAAATCTCATAACTATGTTATCGGGCGAAGATAAACGACTCGTAAACAGTTTGAGGCAACAGGAATCCTTGGTCCGTCCTAGTGTTTTGCCTTCTTTGTGGATCATGGGTAGGCGTTTCGTAAGAGAGGTGAGAGAGTAACGAATAAAATTGCAACAACAACATTTGCGTGATCTTTAATTAGGTAAAACAAACTATACAGATACTCGTTCCCGGGCATTACATGAATTAAAGAGCCAACAGCTCTTGAAAGAGAGGTCCTCAGGAAACCTGGGGTGTCGAGGAACAGATAATGTCTTAAGGTAAATCATAGCCGATAACAAGCTGTTGCCCGATAACAAGCTGTTGTTCGGGGAATGAAAAACTGGAATTTAGTCATAGGCAAGAATCGATTGTACATAAATGTGGAGGCTTCTTTGTGTGTCATCCTTCACACATTGTTGGTGGAGCGCAGGATAAAACCTTCACGAACAGCATAATATGGTCGAAAACAGAAAAGCCTTTACCCTCGTTGACATTTTTTCATTGTCTTTCATATTATCATATAATTATCATTGTAATAAGCATAACCTCAGGCTATATTTCAAAGTTAATTTCCTTCGTTTCAACTTCGATCGTATTTCGCACATCATAGAAAAGAAAAATACTCCTTAGATATAATTAAACTCTAATTTTTGGTTGCAGCCCAGAAGCAGCTACGGTCAGGACAATGGAATATGTGCTGTTGTTGATAACTATGGGAATATTACAGAGTCACACTGTAACCGACTTAATCCATTCGTTTGCGTGAGGAGACCAGGTAGGTGACGTCAAATCTATCCTCTAACGTTTAGCCACATTTAGACGTATTAAAACCATTTCAGCTTTGATGGATACCTAGTGATGAGCCCGACGAAAACTGTTGATAGTAGACAGACACAAATACAGCGATGCGTAAAGAGATAGTATATATATACACCGACGAGGCCCAGAAGGCCGAAACAGTACTGTCTGCAGTTAGTTATATATATGTATGTATATATATATATAAATATATATATATATATAGTTAGTCTGCAGAACTGCTTTCAGAGTGCTCAATAGTGAACTAGAGCGTGTTATAATTGAGAACGGAGTGGTCAACTGAAGATTTGGCTTGGCATTTATTACTACTTAGTTTCGTACTACACAGCTTGTGTAGCACTCGTCGGATAAAATTGCCAAATGCGAACTTACAACGTTACACTGAAAGAGCAGAGAGAAACATGCGGGTTTAACTCTAAGAATACGCCACCACAAATTCCCGCGATCTCAAATTATGAGAAGAAGCTACTAAATCTGATTGAAAACATCAAATTCCGTAACGTACACTGCTGGTTTAAAAAAAATCTGTCTTCTGATATCCAGAGCAACATTAAACAATCAAGCGACCTCCTTGTACCCGCTGACAAGACCTCCGATTTCTACAAGATGGATAAACGCACATACAATGGGCTTTTACAGAAGAATATAACCAAGACCTACAAGAAAGTACCACCTAACACCACAGTATCTATTGAGTTGGCAAGCAAAAGAATCGCTAAGAAATTTGACTTAGACGAAAGAGTAAACACCACTGCCAGACGGGAAGCCTTTATAACCCTTCAGGACCACAAGCCCAACTTTGCCAACAACCCGACCTGCTGTCTAATCAACCCAGCCAAATCAGAAATCGGGAAGATCAGCAAACAAATTCTCGACCGAATAAACAGGGGCACTGTCAACCACCTAAACTTAAACCAATGGAAGAATACTAAGGCTGTTTTAAGGTGGTTCAACAACATAACGAATAAAGAGCGATACTCATTCATCGCTTTTGATGTGGTAGACTTTTATCCCTCCATCTCTGTTGACCTTCTAAACACAGCATTAGAATTCGCTTCCGGCCATGTCAGCATAACTGATGAAGAACGAAACATCGTCCTTCACGCGAAAAAATCCCTTCTCTACAGTGAAGGTGAACCATGGGGAAAGAAAACATCGGCTGACCTCTTCGACGTGACCATGGGAAGCTACGACGGTGCAGAGTCATGCGAGCTCGTTGGCTGTTATCTCTTGTACACCATCAAGGAGAAACATGGCCACAACTTTGGCTTATACAGAGAAGACGGCCTCGGAGTGATCCGGGAATCACTCCGAAAAGCAGAGATAATTAAGAAAGATCTCTGCAGATTTTTTGAGAGATATGGCCTTAAAAAAACAATCGAGACCCACAAGAAAGTCGTAAACTTCCTTGATGTCACTCTGAACCTTAACAATAGGGACTTTAAGCAAACCACGACGGCGACGGCAACGAGAACGTGGGAAAACAATAGATCTAATTGGCAGAACAATAGCCCAGCACGTGCGTTTTAAAACTTGGTACATTTCTTAGCCGTCCTTTGCAAAACAACAACGCGAAATCCCCAAAATTGCGTCGTCTGCGAAGCGAAACCGCGGCGGCAAATTATTTTAATTTTAATTTGGAACTCAACGCTACTTTTATGCGTTATGTTGAGTTTGAAGTGTGGCGCCTTATGAGACGGTAAACACGAGCAGCCATTTTCGAAATTCTAACTAAAAGTAGAAACTCCTTTTTTTAATCGACGTCTTCCGTGCCGTTGCCGTCCTGGCTGCTTAAAGTACCTAATGGTAAATACATGCCCTACAACAAGCCTAACAACAACCCACTTTACATAAACAAGAAATCCAACCACCCACCTTCCATAATTGAAAACATTCCACTATCTAATAAATAAACGTTTGTCAGAGATTTCATACCATGAAGAATCCTTCAACAAGGCAGCGCCGCTCTACCAGGATGCCCTCAACAACAGCGGATACAAACATAAACTTACATTTTCACCTCAAACCTCTACCCACCCCCCGAAATCGAATCGAAGGAGAGAAATGATTTGGTACAATCCACTGTACAGTAGAAATGTAGAAACCAACATCGGACGTGTATTTCTAAAGATACTTGACGAAGAATTCCCCAAGGACAATGTGTTACACAAGGGGCTTCAACCGCAACAAAGTAAAGATCAGCTATAGTTGTATAGGGGATTGGGTGATGCGACCACGAAACAGGCTTGTAGGGATGAACTTGTAGTTTATTTGTCTTTTTACCCCACAATATATAAATCGCTCTACTTCTATGTATTGAGCACTGTTTTACGAAAGTCAAAATTCTACACTGCATATATATATATGTTTATATATACATATATATACTTTTTTTTCATGCACCTGACTTAGCAGTGGATTTCTGAACTTTTCTTACAGTGGTTCATTGTCCCAACGGTTGTTTTCATAATGGCGACTGTATAGGCGCCACCTGATTCTGTTATCCCGGATGGACTGGAGAAGACTGTTCCAAGTTTCATTGCCAGGACTTGCATAACTGTTCTGGTAAAGGTGAATGCATGGGTCCTAATGTCTGCAGATGTTACCCTGGTTATCTGGTGAGCTTTCTTTAATCGTAAGCAATTGAGAAAGGGCGTGAATCCTATTAAAATCAATGTTTGCGAGTACCGTCAAACGAACTGCGTAAGTCTCACTAAAATGGAATTTTATCTTTAGGTATGGGAACACCGGAATTTTTTTTTTCCTTACTTGAAAGATATGTGCAAATTGTACTGAGGACCTTCTTGATTAATTCTTCGGCACAAAGTGCTTTGTCTTTTCTAAGACTGTTAATCACGTCAATGTGGATTTTTTGCAGGGTCGTGGCTGCACTTACTCATTTTGTGGAAAGTACGAAAGCTGTGCTGATTGCGTGACAGACCCATCATGCGGATGGTGTGACAGCTTGAGGTCCTGCCTTGGAGGAGTTGCTGAAGGACCTCCAAAGATAGAATGTCCCGATTGGTTCTATTACCACTGTTACACGGTGGAAGACGGAGAATGTTCATGGCAAATAATGGTAAGTGGAAAAGAAGGGAAAAGAAGGGAAAAGAAGGGAAAAGAAGGAAAATACGAGTACTTTATGGCTTTTTTTTAGAGCGTCGGTAGAATATATAAGAAAACTGTTGCAGGATATAAAAGTGTTTTGTGCATCATATTTATTCAGTGTTGATGCCAGGAGACCGACTTAAGATAATAGTTTTGTGGGGGACGTCCGAGAGCCACACTTCATCGCACATACCATACTCACCCATTATGAACGAATAAGGGAACAAATGATGAAATTTTCTATTGCAACAACACTGACCTGCCTGTTTTCAATTCTTTTTTCCATCATGGGATAGTCATATAACAGCTTTTTCTTTCAACAGAGGGTAAAATGTAAAGGAAAGTACTGTAACTACAAAGACGGAAGAGCAACTATTGAGTCCTGTCAAAAATGCCGAGACCTAGAAAAATGCCACAAACTCACAGTAAGATAAATATGCATGTATTTAAATCATACCTCTCTTCCCTCTTTAGCGCCGATTATGATATGCCACGTATGCAACAAAATCCCTCTTAAAACACAAATAGACTTTATTGGAAGTTCCAACGTGCTTCACACTTTGAGCGCTTTTCGTGTGACAAAAGTAATGCATGGAAAAAAAAAAAAGATTATTTATCGGAATAAGGGTTAAAACTAGTCGAATTTTATCGACCTGCAAAACAGAAATCTAAATATCCACCACTTTCTCTTTCACTGAGGTGAATACCTGTTTTGGTGAATACCACACAAACAGGATAACAAAAAGGCCGGAATGTACCTTTCTTTGTAACATAAACCGAAATGTGTTGAGGAAATTAAAAAAAGAAAGACTGGTGGAAATCTCGCCACACGATAGCCACTCTGGCGAAGCAGCTTGTTACCACGAAAATCTCCATCCTCCCGACTTCCACAAGAAAGCTAGAGCCTTTCAATGCTATTATTTAACTACCCAGGAGTTACTCCTTCAGTGGGGGATCATCTCTCCTGGTTTGATGACGTGGAGGTTGGTTTTAAAAAGCAGTCTTACTCGGTATATTATGTAATTTTTTGCATAGGAAGGGGGCCAGTGCAAGGCTTGGAATGAGACACACTGTCCCGGTGGGAAAGTGAAAGTGGATTACACTGATCCCGAAAGGAGAAACAACGTGGAACTGGCTGAAAATGTGAAATTAGTCGAGCCTAAGGATACTATCATTTATGCATGTCCAGTGATTATGGCGAAACATGATGAATTGTCGCTCATTCTTGTTGCCCCTAACGTTCTGGGCATCCAAGCTGGCGACATAGTTTCCAGTCCACAAGCAGGAGGTATTCTGCACAAGATTGTGAAAGAAGTCAATGATGGTAAGTATTCAGCTGCTCATCTTGCTAGTCCATGCTAGAAGTAGGTGCCCAACTATTGACTACCAATAACTTCTTGTTATTGTGTATAGGATTTGTGTTCATACATAGCACTAAACAGAGGTTAGAGATGCCAAACATTTTTATTTAAGACATATGGTAAAAACCACGAGATCCTCATTGTAGTTTTTAAGAAAGTCTCCTTGATAACGGTGAAATATGAGTCGAACCTTTGCTGTGATTGTCAAGGTTAGGACAGCATTTGAAAGGGCGGTCCTTGCAGACGATGATTGACATTTCGACAAGCTTACCAGGATTTATTATTATTATCAGAATTGGTTATCAGCGCTTTTCAATATTTAACTTAGACGCAAGCTACGAACAAAGAAAACGAAAACAGTTTCATGCCTGGCTTGGTTTAAGAAATATTTGTGAATAGAATAGAAAGTTTTATTTTTATTATTAGTTATTCACTGTCTCAAGTTTGAAGCAAAAATTATTTCAGCTGGCACTTATCTCAACAGGCCCATTGAAATTGATGTTGAGTGCTCCGGCTGGATTGGAAGAAGTCATCAAGTATGCGGACTTCAAGGGTGAGATGTCTCCAGAACAATTGGACGATGAATCAACTATGGAGGATGAACCAGATGTAGAGGACCTGGATGATCTAATTTCAGGCAAAGTTAACTCCACCGAGAGCCGGATAATTATCCTTTTACCTGGTAAGCGAATAAACTTAACTGCAAAATAGTGGAGGAAAGAAACTTGAAAAGTTGACGTAATTTATGTCCTACTTTTGGATAGGAGCGCTAACATTATCCGGCACTTTCATGCACAATATCGAAGTCGTCTATCTCGGTTTCTCTGTGGACCTCAAATGACTATCCACTTTGGGCAGTTCTGATTTGGCTATAGCCCCTTAATTCCGAACATGTTGAACTGAAACCTTCGTGCATCATTATCATCTCCCGAGATGATAATGATGCACGTTGGTCGACGACGATAACTCTGATTCTATAATCAGTCTTATTTTCAATAGAAGACTTGAAACATCCGTGTTCGTTAAAGTGGCTCGAAAAATGACTCTGCTTTACTGCTTTCTGAGTGTATTGCCAAATGTTGCTCCAACCAATCCCGTCGTTAGAACATGTAGCTCGTTTTTACCAGAGGAGACAAATCAGTTAACGACGCTGTTTATGACTATCTCAGGTTGCGAAAGTCATCTAGACTGCGCCGTGTCTGGATTGGTAAAGAAAGTGTTATGTTCAGTACGGCAACTAGTAATCGAGAAAAAGATATATGCATTATCAACCAAGCGTAAGGTCGAGATGGCTGGATATTGGCCGAGCTCCTTTTTTCGCATTTTTATGGACCGAGACGAAGTCGAGGTCCATTAAAATGCAAAAAAGAATGAGGCTAATATCCAGTCATCTTGACCGAACAAGCTTGGTTATTAGACGATTTATTATATCACAAGAAGATTTCACTTTATTGAGAATTAAGAATGACTTGTTTACTTCGAGAGCAGGAAAATAAAGCCAAATGTGTTTGTAGCACAACAAAGTCACGAGAGTCGTTTCTGTTTCCTTTGTTTTGACCATCTTCTACCGCTTTTTGCGCTCCCATCGTCGAAATTGTCTAGGAATTACGAACGTAGTTATGATTCTATTTTTTTCATGCGCGGGATCAATGCGGACAATCGCGAGCTGGGAAGATGGCCCATCTTGACCGCTCGAGTAGCCAATCAGAACCAGGATTCGCTTCATCTTTCCCACGGGCGCTGCGAGCGATGTGATAATAAGAACGACCAATCAGACTTCAACCCAAATCCTGGACCGTGGGTAGACGACATGACTTGTGTAATCAATGTATCTTGCTTTTGTATTTTTTTTTAACTCCAACATGAAGTTTGAGTTAACGTTGTGCGCTCCAACCTCCGGAACAAAGCTTGATACCAGCTACTTCCCTGAAGTAATTGTTTTACGATTCAGGAATATATAAGTGCCTTGGACACACGTATGACATTGGAAGCACCTTCATCTACTCTTACTACTTGGCGATAGAGAAAAACAACACCATCCCTAAGGCAGGTGACATAGTTGTGTCAAATACTAGCGATGGTTTCATTGAGAGTGTTATTGAAGTTCATAGAACAGACGATACCGATTACCTGGAAACGAAACTTCAGAGATGCGACAAGAAAACTCACTTAGATGGCGCAAGGTATTGTGTTTGTTATGGTGAGACAGCTTTGATCTCCGTCATGGTTTCTTTTAGACAAACGCTTTACAAGCATTTAGAAATAGTTGTCTCTTTTAAGAAGTTGTAGGTGAAAGTAGTTATGAAAGAAAAGAAGAGCATCTAATTAATATTAAGTCAGTTCTGACGCGTTAAAGCAGGCAAGTAGCAGGAAATGTCGCTATAACAAGTATATCAGTAGCCTAAATTTTGTCATGCTGTCAGGATTCAGAGCTCTACAATAGGAAGAGTAGCCTTTTTTAATTTTTCGCCGTTGTTACCCATTTTTCTCCCATTTTTCCACTAGATTGCAAGAAAGTAAACAAAGATTTTATGGGTCAGTATTTTGTAGCGGAGGAGACAACAATCCAGGACTCGTGTTTTCAGAATCAGACAAACGGGCCGGGCTTTTCTCCCATGGTGATTTGATAACTGGGAGACCAAGTAAAGGCTTAATCGCTAAGGTAAAGTCTCGTATGATATAATCACAGACTACCCGTTCGTAGTGTGTTTGTTGTTATCAGAATTCAACGGATGATTGATTACGATCCGTTAGGACACGAGACACGTCCTTCTTTGTAACGTTATCAAAAAGGGCCTCACTTGATCTATCGGCAGCTTAAGTATGCCTAGATATGGTAGTTTCTGGCATGTTGACTTAGAAAATCCAAGCAGGAAAAGATGTAATTTGATTATAACTGAATTATTTTCAAATTAGCTACATACCTATAGCCTTGTATTTTTTTTGTTGTTGTTGTTGTTGTTGTTTTTTGCCAAGCAAGCAAGCGAGCAAGCAACAGGGTATTAATTTAATTAAACGTCACCATTCGTTTTGTTCTAATGATAGCCTTCTTTCTCCTCAAATTCTAGGTTATAGACACGCATTCTAGCGGAGATTTTCTTCTTTTGGAGGTAGTCACTGCAAAACTGGATGAAAATAGAACCATTGTAACGGAAGCGGATACAAATTTGCTACAAAAACATCGCAGACGAACAAGGCGCTCAACAGAAAACGTGGACTTGGTAAATTTTCAACCGGAAAGGATAGATCACAAGGTAGAAAAAGCCTCCATACATCAACCGGTTTTAAAAGAATGAAATACTTTATTATAAAAAAAAGAAGTAATATACGCGAAAACCGTTGAGTTTCTTCTCTGTCATTGAGAGGTAAAAAGAAATTCCAAAACATCGAACATTCAAGAATGCAGTTTGCAATAATAATCTTCATCGCTAGTAAAAGATAGGATCTTTTAAAAAGGAACAACGACTGATAAAGAGAAGTGAAAGCAAAAAAGACCATGAAACAACATAAAAGTGGCGAAGAAACTTCTATCCGACTTTTATTAGTAAGTCAGTTCCTTTTCCTCTTGTACTAAAAAATATTGCAGTTTTCGTCAATAATTTCCACGTTATTCATAAATTCTTTTTTTGGTACCAAGTAGGAAAAACCTTAAAAATCAATTCTGCTTGACTTCATTAAGGTTTCATCAGATTTCCCTATAATCTTGGTTTTTCTTTTCGTAAGCTTCTATCCACTGGAGGGGCAACACTCAGAATGTCTTTGTTCATGAATCTACGTCTGAGCGTGTTCGTCTCGATTGAGAAAAAATTTTTTGGAGTGGGATTAAAGGATGCGTCTGTTGGTCTAGAGTTGGAGGGAAGTCTGCAATTCTCTTTGCAGTTCAGTCTAAATGGGGAGCTAAGGTTAGTAATACTTTGACAAGGCAATGATCGATAAGGTGCCTTGTTTCTGAGTTGTATAGTGCCGTAACCTTCACATGCCGAGGTTAAATTTTATAGAGAAGTATGTTATATTGAGAAATACCACAAAGTGTGGAAACATTTTTTTGTCTTAAAAAACTGAAAGATGATGCAAAAGTGACATCCTGTGCAAATATGAACGGACTTATTTCGACCAATCAAAATTTGCATTACAACATCTAGTGAAACGTTATTACTTCCTGCTTGTTTATTTATTAGAGAATAAATCCGAGATATAACAACGAAAAGCCGAACAGAAAAAAACAAAGGTAGCAGGTTCTAATAGGCTTCGGCAGCGAGGGAGCCAAGGAAGAATATAAGAATTTTGAAATAGTTTTTGTTTATGAGATCAGTTGTAAGATTTAGAGCGTTTTAAAGACACCTAATGGTCAATTTCTTTGAGAAATCGGTAAGTCATTATATTTATTCAATCAACAGATATTCAGGAAATCTTCGCGCGATAAAGGATAAACAGCTTGGTCGTTCCAAGTACCTTCGCTTTGGAATGATAAAAATTCCTGTTGGAATTTTCTTGGCTTTGACAGGGCAGGCATCCGCTGGAATATCCGTAAGTTGACTGTGTTTCAAACACTTTGGAAAGTTGGAAACATAGAACTCATATCAAGAACTGAAATCTATTTCATTAATTTTTTCTCAAATCAGGGAACAATTACCCGCTCATTATCCATCAACGGGGGCATATCACTTGGAGGTGAATGCCGTTGGAGCGAAGGAAGCTGCTACAAGACTGACGATACAGTAAGAGCTGAATAACGTGCACCGCATGCGCTAGATTTTGCCGCGGAAACACGGATTTTGAGTCGTTCGCATGAATGATTGCCTATTCTGTTGCTTCGAGGCGTCGTTTTCCTTGCTGCTTTTCTTTTACAGAACAACCTCCAAAAACTTGGTACACCCCCTGAAAAGTTTCAAAAATTAATTTTCTCCTTAAAACCTCTGGAAATAGGAAAATGCCTTCGATGAAAACAGAGTTCCTCGGTTTTAAAAGTCAGCCCTTACTATTTTCCGCTAATTTCGCTAAATTTTAGACCTAGGACACTTGAGCCCGCGTTGTTGACGGCAACCCGCTGACGTAGCATTTCATTATTCAGCTCTGTCTCCTGTGGCTCGTTAAGAGTTGCGGTATCAACATTTGGGGTTTCATGATATTTCAAATCCTTTTTGAATCATGTTTTCATTTTATATTTATTTTCACTGCATCGTTTTGTTTTCTTTTCTTTTACTAATATCTTTATTATCTCTATCAAAAAAGTAATGCTAATAAAATGGTAAAGATGATTATTATTAAAATAATAATTAGCAATGATAAAATAATGATAATAATATCATATTCATACTAATTATTACCGTATCATTTATTATCATAATAATCATATCATTATTATTATAATTATTAATATAACTAACATAGATAACATCTTTATTTCAATCGTCAGTGTCATTGTTATCGTATCACGTTGATTCAGCGATGGATTTTTTTTGTATTTTGCTATTTTGTAATGAAAGTTTAACTAAGATTGCTAAGCAGTGCGACTTGCTTTACCTACAAATCGATAGAACAAGTACTATTTACTATTTGGTTGCTTTTCTGTCTGTTTGTATATAGGTCTATATGTCTGTCTATCTATCTGCGTGCATGTTCGCTTGTATGCATGATTGATCAACTGACTGACTGACTGACCGACTGGCCGACTGGCTGGTTATTTGGTTGATTGATCAATTGATTCATGTTACAAATCAACCTCGTAGATCAGTCTGACATCAAACTGGAACAGCCCGAGACCAGAGTTGGAAATTGGAGCAAATGTGGACATCACTGTAACACCCACAGTCTCCTTAAAAGTGCCAGCATTACCCAAAAGGCTCTCTCAGCCTTCCAAGTCAAAACCTCTTAATGTGCTAGCTAAGCTGGGTAAGATTTTTCCATTGTGTCAGCGTCGTTAAGCAACACATTTTTTTTTTCCTTTTTCATAAAATTACCATCAACAAGGGGCATGAACTCTTTTGAAAAACTTCATAAGCATTGTTCTTGCTTTTTTCTCAGAATATCAGGTAAACTTGGAAAGGAGAATTTGTAACTCTCTCTAGATTTCGGAATATAATTTGTCGCTCGAATCAATCAAAAAAGTTTTTGAGAGAAGTTTGATAGTGGTAATTTGTGACCTAGTTTTACTGTTTATTTATTTGATTCCATTTTTCTGGATGGAAATATTAATAATTAAAGTTTCGGGCTGCGGAAAGGCGTTTAATAGCTTGCGTTTCATGTTATCTTTCAGTGAATGCTATAGCTGATTTAATTCCGGACGTTTCTTTGTCACTATTCGTGAGTACACCTCTGAAAGCTGGAATTTCTCTAATTTATCCCTCAAGTCTATGCCAAGGTGAAACACCAGCTGAGCTAGACAGCTACTACGGAATTTCCGACCTGATCTTTGGCGTTTCTGTTAACTTTATTGAAAAAAAGTTGATGCTGTCATATAATACTGGATTCAGTTTAATGTCGACATCTGGTTGCACGTAAGTTACGACGACTCTTAAAGTGATTTTAGATTAAATGGGAAAATAGTAAAAAATGGGTTTACCTCAGGGGATATACGATCAGATGGATCTTTTTGTCCACTGTTTCCTGCTCGAAGTGTTCGTCTTTTCTCTCTGAAAAAGGACGAGAGCCAACAAGAAACTCAACCCACTTAGAACGCCTGGTCCGGGAGTCGAATCTGACACCTTCTACTCCAATCGGAAACGTATTTGAGTTGTGACGTAATCAGATTTAAAGTAAAGCCTGACTTCCTAACTGTCAATCCGCGTTATAGCTTATGGCAATTAACTAATTTGCAGTCATTGGAAGGGCGATTTGATATCGCAGCACTTATCAGAACCAACTAAAGCAAATCAAAATACTGAAGACCAAAGCAATTACGAAAAGCCGCCTAAAAGTTAATCGAGGGTCTCAATGGGGTTAACCGCTGGCTGTGAAAGGCCAGAAACCTTTGCAAAATGGCCAAGATCTTAACCGTTACCGATAAAAGCCATCACCCCATTGAGACGCTATTAGTAACTTAATAAATAAATTAATAATTAAATAATTCATAATTTAATAATTAATAAATTAATTGATAAGTTTATTAGTAAATTAGCAGCTTACGAAGGGTATATTTGCACATTTTAATGCATAAAATAGTAAAATATTCATAAAGTTTAAATGACCCAGTCACTCAGAATAAAAAGGAAGACATGACAACATTCTGCAAATTTCTTATATCTAGAGTTAACATGGGAAAGTTTCTTTCTAAATTATTTTGATCCGTATACTATATCTAAGAAATTGTTCAACAATTTAATTCAATGGTCAGTTTAACTGATTGATTCGTTGACTAGAGGAGAGTTCAGTATTACATTGGTAATCAACAAACCACTCAGACAAAATATTTGTTTCTCGTTCCATCCAAATTTAGGGAATGTGTCTGCCCAATTCCAGCTGATAAGGTAAGGCAGCAAAACGACACTTAATAATTATCTCATTCTTAAACATTCTATTCTTCTTTTTCTCTTTTTCGTTGCTGTTTTAATTTGTTCATCGTCATCATCATCAGTATCAACTTTATAACAAAGTTATCACCTTCACTGTTAATATTATTATGTCGCAGAGAAATCAA